TCTTGACTAATTTTAGTATACCTGAGATATATCTACTTGTAGATGTTCAATTAGTGAGTAGTGTTTAGAGCACTTGAACATTCAGACCCCTTAGTGGGTGAAATTCATTTGTGTTAAATCTTTAATTCCTACGATTTATTTTACTGCAAATGATTGGTAAATTTCTTTTTGTTTTGATGTGACCAACAAGTGTTATCGGAGTTGTTCTTCAAAAGAAGGTTAGGGTTTTGTGATTTCTTCAAACCTAGTTTTCAAAAGCATTGCTAAACTGGTAAATCGTTTTGATTTCTGAAATATTTGTAAAAAAAAAATTTGTTTTTTGAAAGGAAAATTGTTTGTCTACCTTTGATTCAACTTTTGGTTGGATCGTCTTGAGACTCTGTGTTTTTCTAGGTGCGATCAAAAAGATATTGAACGATATATTGGCATTCATGAGGCTTCTTAAAATTTCCTCTAGAAAATCATTTAACTCACTTTGATATGTAAAATCTTGTGTTTGTCACCAACATCTGCAATTCCTTTGATAACTCACTCTTGAGTTGTGATGGTTTTCGTAACTTGTTCTGGTTACTAATGACTTGACTTGACTCACTCTGATTCCTACCGCTTTCTTGACTCACTTACAAAGTTCTAATGAGTCACTATGACTCGTTGGCTTTCTTCATACAATTTGGGGATTTTGGTTTGTATCTAATATTCTTTAATCATTCCCTTCATTCTGAATCTTTTAAGTTTCAGACTCTGGTATTCTCTCTCTTAATCTTTTATGTTTTTGTTATTCAAATACTCTATATTGTCTAAATTTGAATTGGCTATTAAGGTAAGAGATTTATCTTTATCGAATATATCCTATGAGGATCAGGGAGTTGGGTCATTGAGATTAGTGTCTATGAAAGACAAGAATTAGATAAGATAGCTTGGAGCTTTATTTTCCTTTACTTATCTGATAGTGTGATAATAAAAATTCGGGAAACTACCACAACTAAAACACTATGGGCAAATTTAGAAACTCTTTACCTAATTAAGACAATAGCAAATAATTGTTATCTCTTGAGACAATTCTATAACATTAGGTTTGATTCCTTCTCTAGCCTAGAAGAAAACATTGATAAGTTTACAAAGTTAATTCAAGATTTAACTAACCGTGATGAAAAATTATCTGATGATCAACAAGTTGTTGCCCATTAAATCCATTAAGTGATAAATATAGGAAGATAAATAAGCCTTAGAATATGGGAGAGAGGGCTTTACAGTTGATATTATATTCTCAGCTCAAAGGAATAGAAATCTTGAATTAAAATCTGAATTTAGAGATTCTAAGAGTGGTGAAGGGCTGGATATGAAAGAGAAATTGAACTAAAAAGAGACATCGAACCAAAATAAGAGAAATATGTCAGCACCAATAACTCTTTATAAGAAAGAGAACTCCAAAATCTCAGGATCAAAGATAAGAACAAGAAGTAAGGCTAACCTTAGAATAAAGTTAAGAAATGTTATAACCGTGGAAAGATTGGTCATTTCATAAAAGATTGTTTTAAGAAAGCTTATGATATGAAAGATTAATCCAATTCTGATAGGTTTGCAGCAAGAACTGTAGTCAAAAGAAACTAAAAATAATAGGTTCTTGATTCTGGGTGCACTTTTGACATTTGTCCCATAAAAGAATGGTTCATTGAATTTATTGACTTAAATGGGGGACAAGTTCTCATGTGAAATGACATGAGTTGTTAGATAAAAAGGAATTGGAAAACTTAATCTTTTATTGAAAACTAGTTTCATTCTTGAATCGGCTAAGGCAAAGTATGTGCCTGACCTATAAAGGAATCTAATTTCCTTAGAAGAATTAGACAATGAATCTGATATAAGAATTCATAAAGGATTTACCAAAATAACTCTTGATGACATGGAGATAATGTTCTCTCTCAAAGTCAATGGAATTTACACAATACAGGTTGAATCTTTTGTTGGAAATAGCTCCACAGTTCTAAATTCTTATTTTGACAGGTCTATATTTTGGCATAAAAAACTTGGCTACATTAGTGAAAATGGACATATAATTTTTAATAAACTTGGATGTTTTGAAAATGATTACATTGAAAAACTTAAGTTTTGTGAATAACGGCTTATTGAAAAACAAAATAAACTACCTTTCAAAACTGGGATTCATGAGTCCATTTGTACTATTATTAACATGCTAATCTTTGGAGTCCACCATTTGTCAATATACTTAATGGATTTAAATTCTATCTACTTATAGTAGATGATTTCTCAAGAAAAATATGGATTTTTCTATTAAAGGCTAAATCTGATACTTTTCAATATTTCAAGCAATGAAAATTGATGATTGAAACTCAAACTAACATGGAAGTCAAAGCACTTAGGACAGATATTGGCTTTGAATTTTGTAATTTTGATTTGGACTATTTTTTTAAAGGTTCTGAAACTTTTAAACATTGCAAATTGGACTCCTTTAACTCCACCAAGTCATCAACTCCCAATTAAACTCCCAAATTGAATTCCAATTAAAATTCTCAAATAAACTTCAACTAGAATTCTCAAATCGACTTCAAATAGAATTCCCAAATAATCTTCCAAATAGAACTCAAGTCACACCCTAATTCGAATAATACAATATTAAGATTGAGATTCTATTTTAAAATATTAACCTTATTAACACGAGTAGTTTAAGTTCTTATAAGTTAATATATATTTTCATCTTTTATTTGATGTGTAATTTTATCCCTTAACACTTATAAGATCTTTTATGTAAGTCACATTTTCCTCATCTTGAACGTTGATGGCCTTTTCCCATTTCCCATTTGATGCTGGAAATACCTAGAATCTGTACGGACAAAATTTTATATTAGCAAAAAAGACGTGGACACACATCATTTTGACAAATAAATTGGATGGCAGGTAAAGAAAATGATCATTTTCGTAGTAAATGATTCAAAAAGGGAGGATAATGCAATTGGAAACAAAGTCCAACATTGATTAATAGTTTTATCTTTTAGGATGGAATCCCAATTCCCTACAAATGTTATAAGAGCTAGTCCGTAAACTAGCTATGTGAACGCACAAGAAGGATATTAAGTTTGCAGTCGAATGAATGTAGTGGCCTAAGTTGGATCATGATAGGCAGAAAATATATAGTCGGGTACTAAGCAGTTGACCTCATGATGATAAAGGATGTTTCGCTGCTAGGAGGTCCACAAATTCGCACATGGTATTTTCTTGACATTAATGTAGGGTGTGTGGTTGAAATTTATGTCGACGACTTTTGAACTTCTAGAAAAGCCAAGTAAGAAGTTGCACTGTAATTTCTAGAAAGCTTGTTTAGTGTAGACCGATTTGAAATTTTTAGAATTTATTGATTTCATGTGCAAATATACATCACAGTGGCGTACGTTGATTCTCAATCTTCGGAATTATGGTTGTAGAAGAAAAGTTATACCAAACTTTTCCTTAGTGAAATGAACAAGATGATTGAAGAGGTGAAACATTGGCATGGGCACATTATTCAATTTGGAAGAGATGTGGAAAAAAATTCTATAAGTCTAGAGTTCTATAATCCTGGTGCAGCGTCGATTGCATCCATTTGAAGCAAGTGAATTAACAACTTGGTTTCCTCTTGATAGATATGTAAAATAGGATCATGATCGCAAGAAAAAAAATGGTGTGTGATATGTCTAAGAGTAGTTTGAATAGACCATGATCCTATACCACGAGTGATTTAGTGAATTGCCATGAAGGAGTTTGTCTCCATCCACAAGTCCGAAAATCCAAGTGTACATGCAAGAAGGATTCGACCAAGAATGGCTCACAGCTTAGTGTTATGTATAGTGCAATCACCATAAAATAAAGTGAAGACACAAATCCCTCTTCTCTTCAAGAGTGACTACATAATATTCTTCCAGACTATTGATTTAGGGTTTGTTTGGTAGTAATTTTGAGAATTGGGCTTTTGATTTTGGAGAGAAAAGTGGATCCTACTTGTGAGAGAAGATGTAAAAAATGACGGCTTGAATAGTAAAATAACGGTAAAAATTTTGATTTTTTTGAGTGAAAAATCAGTACCAAACATACACTTAGATTGTTACTTCTATAAGAATAATAATTCAATATTGTTCTATAATTAGAATAGACAAAATAATATTTACTTTTTTGTTATATAATTCAAAATTAAGATAATACCGATATTTTCTTTGAAGGAAAAAAATGAGTTTCTTTATGAACTCAATTATTAAAATTTTGCGACTTTCTTTCGACATAAGAGAAATTACTTTTTCAACTTCAACTTCATTAGAGATTCACGGGTAGAAAAAATGAATAAATTTTGCTAATTCAACTGACTAGAACTTCATTCGGATAAGGATACAATAAACATATAGTTATAGGGATATAATGATCATTCGTAATTAGTATATAATTCACAATAACTTGCTCATTGCCAGTTGTAATTAATAAATGACATTATCTATTTCCAAACATAATTGTCTAATTATAGGCAGCAAATGTTATTTCAACAAACCTCTAGGTAGCAAAATGAAGTTTCCCTATGATTGATTGAGATAAGGAAGTTCAGAGGTTTTATATTTTTGTTTTTGTTTTTGTTTTTTGTTTTTTGTTTTTTGTTTTTTGTTTCTTGTTTTGTTTTGTTTTTTTTTTTTTTGAGATAAACCAACCACATACGATGTCATGTATTATTAAAGTGAAAGAAAAAAAATATTACTATAGGCGAACACATTAAACTCATGTTTGGTTTTTAAAAAAAAAAAATCAGATTTTTAATAGATTTTGATAAAAGTATATGGAATGTGAAATTAGAAACTTATGAATCCCATAAAATGTATAGTTATAATTAATTTTTTATTTGACTTAAACTTAATTCACTTTTTAAGCTGGACCAAACAAGGACTAAATTAGTTGGAAGTTGAGCTACTTAGATTGTATTGATGTTAGTACACATTGACAAAAACCAAAAGAAGATGACAAAAATCATTTCACAATATACTCATTCCAAGTTTATTAAAACATAGGACATAATACTTGTAATAAAAAATGGCTACATTTCCACAATGTAGTCTCCAAGCCAAGACTATAGTTTATTTAATTAAAGCCAATTTAATGTAGTCTCCAAACAGAGATCTATAAATTTATTGACTCGACCAACTTCATAGATAGATGAGTAATTTATTCTCCTGCTGTTGCAGCAAAGCATTAAGCGATTACTATCTCCTTGATGGAAGGCTCTTCGTCCTTTGCACCAGCCATCACCTCCACAGTAATTTCCTTTTTATCCAAGGCTGCAATTCATGAGGGGAAACTTTAGTGCAAACACAAGGAAGCTTTTTGTCTAGTCAGATTCAATCTGCAAGGCAACATATCATTAAGTTTATGTTTACATACGTGGGCAAACTCGTGTGCAGAAACAATGGCCAACTGGTCCTCCGCAGCATGCTGGCAAACTTCCCTGAAGCATGCAGTATTGTTGACAAAGAAGCCAGTCACATCCTCAAGCATCCACCACAAGAGGACCACTCATATCTGCTTCAAGAAAAGAGTAGAAGATGTGTTAAATAACACTACGTTCAATACATATATAATACACTCCAATGTAAAAAATTGCGAATGCTTTGCTATGAAATTTAAAGCTGTTCGTGTTATTTCATATTTGGAGAATTAAAGTAGTTGACAAGCTGTGGAGTTGAATAAATTTCAAACCAGTGGACAGGGAAACCAATAGCAGGGGGGTCACCACTGCAAATGACCTCATGGAGAACTCCATCGTTGAGAGGGAGAGATGAAAGGGAGCTTTAGTGTAATGTGAATGGAAGAAACCCTGCTTGTATCTCTTTATATAATGTTTAAGATTGTGTTGATGTTGTGCTGTACACGTGTTATATGTGTGCTTCCAAAAGGGTAATGAATAGGATTTGTGGTCTTGGTGAATAGCGATCATAAACTTAAAAGATAAGTCTGTGCGATTTTATCTCTGTAATTTGAACATTTTGTATCTTAGTTGCCATTTTGAGGCTGTTCTAAGGAAGAGTGTTATTCACTTTTTGGATGTTAAATAAATAGAGGATTAGGTGTTGGAACTGTGTTTAATCACTATTTCTGTTATTTCTGGGCATCTCAATTAATGGTAACCAAGAATGTTTGGCATAAATTTTAAGCATGACAGAAAAAATATTATTTGAGAAGATACTTCTCTTGCCTCCCAAAACATGCTCGACGTCCTGGATGATTTTCTCTATGATATTATAACTGTGTAATACAAGCACATTTTCAATTTCATTCTAACCAATCGCTATCTTAACATCTCTCATATCAGCATTCGATAAAATTTGAACGTCCATATGCAAAGGGTGACGCACAAACCGAGAAATGATTTTTATTCCTTCTTCAAAACAGGAAACTCTATCTTCTTTAGTAAAAAAGTTTCCAAGCTAGATATGGTATCAAATCTTTTCTCTGAAACCATTTAAATCAAATCATAATACAAATTTGTCTGTTTGAATCCTTAGAGGTGTCAAAATATACCGGTCCGTCCATATAATTCATTGAGTCTATTCTTCTATGGATTAAGCTCTGTGTGATATAGAATCGTTGCTCTGTGGTGCGGAATATTTTTCTTAATTCAATTGAATCAAAAAAAAAAAAAAAAAAAAAAAAAAAAAAATGGTGTTGAGCTTGGATTGCCCACCATGGCACTTGTCAAGCCTCAAATTTTGATGATCTAGGATGTCATGACCCAACAAAAACAAGGGGCCGTGCTGGATTCAAGAAAGTTGGTTGAGAATTCACCAAAGCGTATAGGTAGCGAGATATTAATGACCATATTCTTTTCTTATATGTAATTTGTAATTACAAGTGAATTTTTGACTTTTAGCCAAACATTTTATTTATAAGTAAATTGTTTTAGTCACAGTAGATTTTTAATTGTAAGTGTACTTATGCATAAATTTTTAAAGATTAGTAAAGTTTTACTTAATAAATTATCTAACATAGAAGTGAATGTTTTACATATAGGTTGATATTTTACTTGTAAGTAAAAAAATTTATTTTATTATTATTATTTTTGGGTTTAAAATTTATGAGTGAATTTTACTTATATAAAAGGTCTTTTCATATCATTGAATAATTGGAAAAAAAAAAAAAATCTACCACATGTTATATAACTTTTAGATTATATATTTCCTAGATAAATTTGCATTAATTACCTAAATGGTCCACCGAGTCTTTTTCCAAATCGAAACTCAACAATGATGAGTGATCGAAAATTGTCATATTAAAGATTAGAGGATGAGGCACCATAAATTCTTCTAAAAGGTCAAAGCCACATCTTTATATCAATAAGTGCAACATGTTACCTAAATTATATATTAGATATTTTCTAGACTAATTTTCACTAATTGCAAAAATGGTCCCAAATATTGAGAATCTATAAATTCAGGAGAATCTTTTTTATCATGGAGACAAATCAATTTGTAGCAACAATTATTTCATAAAGTTATAGAGAGAAATATATTTGTTGCGTATAATATTTTTAAAGGTATAAAGTTTGCTACCTATTCCATTTTGAAATAAAACAGGCATGTAGTAATGTACATTTCATAACAAATCATGTTTGTCGTCATCATTTGTACATCGATCTGTACTTATTACCTAATTTATTTTGTGATATATATGTTGCATATTCTACTTTTACAACATACAAAACCGCTATTTGACAACTCTTGAAATGAAATTTTTGAGAAAAATGTTTCGAAATAATAATTATTTGAATATGTAATTAGAAAGTATGAAATTTTTTTAGGTTTACGTGCAAAATATTTCATTCTCAAAATATGTTTTGAAAATGAGTTTAATAAAAAGAAAAAAAATTATTTTAATGGTTGTCAAAAAGGAGCAAAAGTGTTAAAACAAATTATCTTGTGCAATGAAAATTTTGCAACACAAAGAGTTTGTCGCATCATCATCATTTGTTAACAATTTATACTTGTTGCCTAATTTATGTCTTCATTTATGTATGTTGTGTGTTCTATTTTAGGACATAATAAAATCTTTGCAAATATTATTTTGTAAGATAAAATTTATCTTTATAAGGCACTCTTGTTCTTGTTTAAGAGTTACTTTTTAAGTCCAAATTGTAATTGTAATTCCTAAGTTAAAATCAAGTCCTAGAAGAATTGTATTAGGTGTTTATCGAGTTATAATCAAAGTTAAAATAGTTAAGAATTGATAGTATATATCTTGAAGGAGTCCAAAATATAAAAAAATGTCAAAGAAGATCAAATTTGATCAAGAAAATGCAATTAGAAGTTTAAAGGTTACCAAAGAGCTGCACAAGTTATGCTCCAAATTCTTGGTCACAACTTGCAAAGCATTTTTCACATACAAGACTTTCGAATTTAAAGAATTATACTTCGAAGTATTGCAGCCTTTAGAGTCAACTTTCTAGGACTGCTCAGTTATCATTCACTTGCGTTAGCCTAGTGCTTGAGCGACATGTCGACTTTTAGAATTCTATTTTGCTTCAAACACTTGGTTTTTCAACCCCTTTTCATCTCAAATGCTTTTCCCTATATATATACACACTAACTTATGAATGTCCAAAAGTATGTTGAATCATATTTATTCCATAGATATCAATTCTTTGATGATCCAAAACATTCATTGATTCCAAAATTCAACCACCACATATTACTTAATTCATAAATTCTTCCAAAACATATTTTGTTGATCAAGCCATATTGTTTCATATTAAACCACCAAATCAAAATATAGAAAGTCATTGATCAAACACCAAACCACGTAATCCACTGAAGATAAATCGATACAGGAATCGGGAGGTATAGTAGAAGCACAAATTCAGGAGGACTAAGGTGAGATAATAGGAGTCAAGATTCGGCATTAGGAGCACGCAGTCTAGGGGGCTAAGGTATAAACCAAGAGTCAAGATTTGTTTTGAAGGAGTACACCTCCACTAGGATCAAGGGAGACTGTAGGAATTGAGGTCAGAAGTTCTATGGCGTAGACGCGGTCTCGTATGTAATTTTGCTTTGATTTATAGTAAATTACTGACTGGCAAAGTGTCTGGAGTTTTTACTTAGTTGGGATTTCTTCATGATCATCCTTGGCGGGTCAACAACCCAAATGCTCATTGAACTTTGTAAAAAGTTTTCACCGAATCGCTGAATTTTAAAAATTACTCCATTCATCACTAAACTTTGCAAAAAATTTCCATATGGTTACTGAACTTTGAAAAAGATTTCCCAATGATCATTGATCTTTTGTAAAATTTAGTGATAAATGGGATGATTTTTAAAGTTCAGTGACCTATGAAAACTTTTTGCAAAGTTCAGTGACCCTGTGACAACCTTTTGCAAAGTTTAGTAATGACTTGGGAGATTTTTAAAGTTCAGTGACCTTGTAAAAACTTTTTGAAAAGTTTGAGTTATTAACTCTCATCTTTCGTGTTCTTTACTGTTTTAATTATTGATTGTGATATTCAAAATCATAAGATAATTGAATTTGATTGACTAATCACCTAGAAACAATTAAAAGTGACTTATTGCTTTTTAATTGCTTATTTCAGCACTTGGGTCTAACTAAATAAATATTCAGCTAATTGGAATTCTCAGTACTCACTAGTAGTCGACAAAGTCCTACAAAAAGAAGATATGTGCAACTCATTAGTAATATCTTTTGAATGCAAGGTACATGGACATGCATTGATATAATAAAAACATAACAACACTCTTAATTCATCATATAATGGAAATTTTTTATAAAGTAAAAAGAATAAGGCGTGAGGTTGTTCAAAACTTTAGTTGGCAATCTGTTGATTAAAAATACTGCAGTCAAGAATGCATCTACCCAGTAACATGATTTTAAATGTGCTTGTGCTAATAAAATGAGTCCTATTTCTTGTATAAGTCTGTGTTTTCGTTCTGCAATTCCATTTTGCTGTGAAGTATATGGACATTTTAAGTGGTGAAAATTTTCATTATCTATTAAGTAGTCTTTGAATTGCTTAGAAAGATATTCGCTGCCATTATCGTTTGTAGTTGCTTTATTTTAGTACTAAAGAGATTTTTCACAAGAGACTTATATTTGATAAATAAAGCAAAGACATCAGACTTAAACTTCATGGGATATAATCAAGTAAAACGATAATAGTCATCAACAAATAAGACATAATATCTACAACCACCTATTGAAGCAACATGGAAAACCCATATATCTGAATGGATGAGTTGAAGAGGTGAAGTAGACTGTCTGGAGGACTCATTAAATGGTAGTTGTTTTGCCTTTCCAGCTTCACACGACTGACAAAAACTCAATTTATTTGCTAACTTTTTAATAGAAAGATAATTCGAACTTTCTAAACGACTTGAAATAGACTTGGATGGATGATCTAACCTAGCATGCCATTTATTTAAAGTGGTTTTGACTCCTACATGTGATTTAAGACACTTTAGTTTATTTGTTGAAGAATTCTTGTGGCTAGCATTCGGATAAAGTCCATTTTCAACCACTCTATGCATTAGTAGTCTTCCCATGTGATTCTCCTTTATACAACAATCAACACCCGTAAGAATAAAGTAACAGTTGTTATCTAAGCAAAATTTATTTATGGAAAGCAAATTAGTAGAGGCCTGGGGACAATGAAGAACTCGTTTTAAGGAAAAAGATGATTTATCTAGTTGAAGAGAGCTAGAGCCAGTGTTTTTAATGATCAAACATGTTCCATTGCCAACGATTACAGTATCAGGGCCTTCATAGCTCTGTTGAGAAGAAAGATTCGCTACATTAGAGGTAATGTGCGCATTAGCTCTACTATCTGTTTACCAGACTTGATTCTCAAAGACTGTGTTTGCTTCAACTATCATAGCAACAAGATCTGCAGGAGGAATGTCCTTGATAAGCTATATTGAATCTATTATAGCAATCTAAAGCCGTATGGCCAACTTTGCCACAGATTTGGCAC